CCCACGGACGACTGAACTTCTACGAGCTTATCACTGGTTTTAGGATCTTCACTTCCTTACCGTCATAGGCTTAAAGGTCACAGGACCACACATCACTTGAGTGTGACAGTACCGGCAAAGACTATGTCGGCTGCATCTACCATTTTCAGCTTATCAGCCGTTAGCAGCCAGCCTTGCGGCATCTCAGGTGTTGCGGCAGCTGAGATTTGAACCCACGAGCTGTTGGTTAAAAGTTCTAAGGCCTTGTGCCACGGGCTCGTTGTCTTATCAGTTTCGGTCGGAAAGATTAACAATGGTAAATGGGCGCTCAATAATCGCTTATGGGAATCAGTCCTCTCTATTTTGTTGAGTCGCCTTATCTAGCCCGCGCCAGCTGTGGCACAGCGGCTATTGGCAGCGGCAGAATGATATTGAAACTAATAAGATAGAGAAAGCTTTCAAAAGAAGGAGATTCGAACACTGGAACAAGAGACTTATTATCTTGACGTTCCGGATTCCGTCGGGATATGCAGTTTTCGTGGACAAAAAGCTAAACTGAGTAAGAATTTCGCATTAAATAGCATGTTCCAATAGAGTAGTGCGCTTACTAACGCAATAAATAAATAAAATACAAAAATAATGGGATTTATCACGCAGACAGAGTTTGCAGATATAAATTATGGCTATTAAATATTATGCTCAGGTTATCCTTTATCCATTTGATCAGAATGCTTTATCAGAGACCATGTTATGCTCACAGGACTAGATTCATTTGTCCGCTGACATTTCCGACAGCTGGGCCGGCTGTCCTCTGTCAAAGCGTGAACTGCTTTTATCGATCAGCCATTCAAAGTTGTGGCTGTACGTGTTGGCTATTGGCTGATCAATTTTTTTCTACGCTCGCTGCTCGACCACTCGTGTGGATTTTTTGTTAGTATTGTGCTCCGTCCCCACGGCCTCGTGATGAAACCACCGGGAGAGAGTGCGGGATTACCGGTCTTCCCACGTGACCGATGCTCTTGCTCAGGAAACTTCTCAGTACACCGTATGGGAATGCCAC